TTAGTCCTTTGCCAGGAAGGCTGTGGTGAAATAGCATGGAACTGCATCGTACGAAAACGTCAACAGTCACTGAAACAGTATAGTGTCTGTGTTCTGAACTTGGAACTGTGAGGGCTCCAGTTGAACCATCAGCTAGCTGCCCACAAAACATCTACTGTGTGGATCATGCGACCACTAGTGTTTCGCCTAGACTTCTGTTACCATGACAACTACGCCGATCAATAATCCGCAAGTGTGGAAACCATTACCATACAGTTACTTTCCATATTAAGTAGGCTAATTTGAAGGTTAGTCGTGTTGAGCTCGAGAAAATCACTGGAGCTGTTCTTAAGTGTCCCCTCGAAGGGCAATATTTTCTCTTAGAAGGGTCCACTGTTAACGTCCCTGTAACTAAATAACGGAAATTCACTGGTTTATGCGTGCTTTTGAGAGCTTTCGTTGGAGTATGACGAAAATTAAAACTCTGGCTAGAATCGATGCACCAGATTACCCTGCATGTTCATAAATCGGCTATTCTAGTGTACCAATGCTGAGAATATGTGTAATGAACATCGCCTACCAGCATCTGGGTTGCACCGAACGGACAAGTAAAGTTGTGATTATCGCGAGCAGAGTGGATCTACTGTGTGTTGTTTCATCTTTTGAACCCAACCCAAGTTTGCAGGTGTCGCGATGGTGCGGCGATAGCGAACATGAGAGAGACTGTCTAACGCAACAGTCTGTTGGTAAATGCACATTCCATGGCAAATGGCGCTGGAATCGAGATAGATGGCGGCTTACTGGGGGTCGTGCACGGTTGTGGGGAGGCTCTTGTGCCTGGTCTTCACTTCACACACAGGACAAAAGAATACTCTTCACATGCTTTGCGGTCCATAATTGACGTCGGTTACCTGTCACTCCATCAACTGAACGTATCAATGCGCTTATGCAAAACTGCGCACTCCTGCATTGTGTTCTAGAAGTGCACAAGCATTTAGCGCCTATGCCAGACTATTAGCTTTCCACAGTACACCCGCTTGAAGAACATACATCAGTCAGGAATTTAAAAAGACATTTAGTTGTAAATTCATGGATCGATCGGAGGTCCACAGGGCTGACAATAAATTACTAACACCCGAGTTCGGTCCTCTTTCTAACACACAGAACAAGCATCTGAAAACACGTGAACAATGACATGCTACAGCCTGTACGGGCGTAGGCCCAATCTATCAGCTGGGGTCGCGAAAAGCTCATCTTACACTGACGAAGTGAGTTCTATCAATGGTATCCGGTAAATGGAATTAAAAGCAACGTGTTTGTCATCATTGTCACAAATGCCACACTGCTATGCAACCACAAAGTTTATCTAACTATATTTAAAGCCTAAGAAAAAATATGAAGTGCCTACACCTCCAAGCGCAAACGCCACTGACATCGATTCGTTACTATTTCGTGGAACGTGTCGAGCCACAGGGCATCGCGGGGACTTCATACTGGAAGCAGTATTGCACCAACAACACCCAAACTCTTCGTAATCTCCTCCACGCCCATCTGCCAAGTCACACGTTGTCCATGTCGCGGTTTCCACCAGTTTGAAGGAGGCACAGAGAACCACTAGTCAAACTGTTATCTAGAATACTCCGCCCGACAAAATTCTTGGCCCAATTATGCTCAGCACCCGAAAGCAACGGGATGCCTTGAATCAAGAAATGACAGTGACCGTTCTGTGACCCACCAATTATTTGCTGGGTGTTCAGAAACACCTAATGCCTAACCCGTTTACACTATGACTAATGTCTTCTGAAGATGCGCCTGCTTTTTTAACCAGTGGATGCCCGTCTTTGCTATGTTTGTTAATTTAAGTTGTGAGACTGATGTATTGATCACACTCCGCAGACTAGGCTAATAAGGACGTATACTTCGCACCCAACTCGCGGAACCATTCTAGCCCGGCTACATCGTACGGGGTGGGAACTAACGAAAAATAGATCTGGGAGAGGTATGGGAGCGATAACCAGATTGAGAACTCTCTGAATGAGGACTTCAAGACAAGGCGGTCTTTTCGACATCAAACGACAAATTAGGTGAGTGGCTTTGTTGTGTGCAGAAACTTTCTCCACAAACCCCACTGGCATGTGTGGTCTGTGGGACAAAATAACGAAATGGGGAGACCTTAGTGTAAGCCAACAGGTAAGGGGATGCTACAATGAATAACAGTGAAACGAAGGTGAACAAAGAAGACACTAAAACACTGAATGACGATTCAAACCTATAAAGATTACGGCACTGAATGTATTACAAAAATACAGTGGCAGACGGTGATGGCATCCGTTGGGAATATCAGAAGTAATCACAGGATAGTGCGCTTTTCGTTGTTTGCAATATTATTAGAAAAAAGGCGAACGGGACGGTAGGCACAATACCACTGGGCCCGTCTGAGAAGAAAATCTTTAACAAAAGAAGCGCGTAACCTATGGTCGACCGACAATTGACACCAAGGATCAGAGCTCAACATAGCTTAATGCTCAAGGTGCCAGTTTAATGACCAGAAGATTTGTGGTTCGAAACCGACCTCAGCATCTCGACTGCTCCTGGTTAGGCTTAGGCAATCTGGCAATCTCAGCTCTCGAACTTCTTTCAGATGCCATAGAAGCTAGGCACCGAAAGGGTCTAACAGCGAACCACTTTAAGTATGAAACAATGACAAATGCGGTGGAACGTTCTACCGAGGCGCCGATGTGATGAACAATAGATATAGAGCTAAGACCACACTCCGCAAACACAAAGTGGTTGGGAAGTGAACAACTAGGTCATAAAACTTAGGTCGATTATGGAACCACATTGTGGTTCACCATAAAGATCAACAAATCTGAACAGCAGATCGGTCCAGTCGGTTTACACTATCTGGGAGTCAGATGACGGCCGAACAACGAAACAGACCATCGTACAACATACAACCAATCCAAACATTGTGTGTGCAAAATTGGATATGGAAGGGGGCGGGCACAACAAGCAGACAGCATAAGCCGTAAACATCCGTATGACAGGTGAGATTGGATTCCGGACAGCTGGCTCACACGCTCGTACCACGTATCTGGTCACCGGTATCGGTGACAAAAACACCAGTGCGCGTGCATGTGCAAGCACTGCACAAATCACAGACAAGTGCAACGTTGCGCAGCCACCATACTAGATAAAAGAAACAGATTCAGTTCTTGGTCAGTACTCAGCGAAAGACTTTCGATCCTCAAGTGATCAAGCGGTAAATTGTGGGTGGTGGACAGTAAAATTTCAGGGTTAGGTTTCGAATGTGATGTGTGAAGATAGCCTAGAGTGGATTATTTTCATAGAATATGCTTTCAAAATGAAATAGTCTCCAGTGAGAGCAACAACTGTATTGGACCCAAAAACTCCCGTCATACGAAAGCTCAAGTGGCCTAGTAGAAACAATAACGGCACCCCATGAGCTTAACCAACTAGAAAAAAGCTGTTTGGAAACGTAACCTGATTGGGTTTTTCTATAGATGATCCCTTCAAGATGCCACAACCTGTTGAAAGAAACCTATCAGCCCTCCAGGAGGACACTAAGTTCAGCTTCTTTGGCTAAAGACCTCAGGCAATTTGATCCTAGCTGCTACACTGTGTCCCCAGGAGAAAAAGGAAGAAAAGACAATCAAACATTGGGGACTGTCTAACATGGTCGCTGACAGTGGGAACAGGGACAAGGAGGCTACGGTTGTAATACAGGACCGGTATTGGTTGCATAATTCTGGTGGGTTTGTTAGCGTCGTTAACGACTGGTGCGCAGCATAAACTTTCATCCAGGAGAATGGCAGCTGCCAACTGGAGGTTTCTAGCTAACGCCTCCAAACTTCGTTGTCAGATTATGGACTGTCTGTTGTTTAATCGTTCCCAGATTATGAAAGCAAGATGCCCTATATCAGAAGTACAGATCCGAGTTGAAACCAACAACCATTCATGTGTAACACACATCAAAGGCCAACCACCTTCTGAATCCAGGGTTCGGTCGCGCCGTCTTAGTTACTACCTTGCTTACGGCAAAAAAACTGGATCCGTACTGGCGACAAAGATGTCTGGAGTAGGCAAAAGCCTATTCAGAAAATAAGCCGGGAGTTATAAAATCGTCCAGGTTAATTTATTCACTTGCGTCAAAGGGTTGCTGCGAACGTGCGAGAAACAGGTGGAATCGAATCCAGACCTGTGTTGTGTATTGCACTTTGAAAATGGGAAGCCCAAGAGTGAACTCGGAATCAGAACATATAGGCTATTTAAAATGGTTTGTATTCCTGTGGAACTTCGACATTATTGTTGTTAGCTCCATCCTACATACTATTATTGCTGTTCGAAACAGCAATGGAACAACAGTTAGTCTCCTTGGCTTAAAGTAGCTCCAAGATACCCAAAAGAGCAACAGGAATCTTCAAAGATACGTAGCATAGTGTCTTCCAAACTAAGTAACCACGTGGCTGACAAATAAGATGCGGCCAAACGACAAGGTATCACGACCGCTATCACAGCTTGTGAGTTTAAAGCACGGCCTACCAGCCACAGTAATCAGAAACGCAGGAAACGGAACATCTGAACTCTTCCTGGGTTGCGCTCTTTAGGGCTAGAGCTTTGTGGTCTTACACTAGGTCGTGGGCAAGAGAGGATAGCCTTCCTAAGGATGCCTATCTCGGAGAATAACGGTGGCTTTGTAATGGTGCGTGGGTGATTCAGCTGTATCACCACTTCGGTGCCCAGCCGCCATGCTATCCGATGGAAGTACGTGATCTGAGATACGGCCAGTGTGCCCGGGCCTAGACACCGGAGTAGTTGAGAAGCCAGGGTTGGAATCGAACCACGGACTTGCCAGTCAGCAACTTCATTTCCTAACCACCCAGCTATAGGGGGCTTTGCAATGGCTGAAGCCTTCGCCGTCAAAGTTGGAACTAAAAACCCACAACGCAAAGCATTCGGTTGACACTGAGTTGAAAACAAAAATGACGGGTATAACTAACCTTGTGTGCAAATAAAGGCATTCTTCTGTCGATAGCCGTCAACCCAGTTCGCATGAATGTAGTTCCGTACTAGGTCCTTGGGTGCAGTCGGAGCCGACAGAGTGCGATGAAGGTTCGTATTGGACGACCTTGAGGAGCCAACCGTTCGAAGATCTTTTCGGCCAGTGGACGTGAACCGCAGAGATGCTGGCCGCAGATGAACACGACTACTCTCGTAACAAATAACGTCACAGTAGCGGTTTTTGTCCCGATTTTGTGCGTGCCTGATAGATATAAGCAAGGAGGATAAAGGCTCTGAGACTCGGAAGCAAATGACCAAAGGGTGGGATTGGATCCATACCATCTCGGTTCAAAACACCATCCTATGACACATTGTGTGTGCAAAATTGGATATGGAAGGGGGCGGGCACAACAAGCAGACAGCATAAGCCGTAAACATCCGTATGACAGGAGATTGGATTCCGGACAGCTGGCTCACACGCTCGTACCACGTATCTGGTCACCGGTATCGGTGACAAAAACACCAGTGCGCGTGCATGTGCAAGCACTGCACAAATCACAGACAAGTGCAACGTTGCGCAGCCACCGTACTAGATAAAATAAACAGATTCAGTTCTTGGTCAGTACTCAGCGAAAGACTTTCGATCCTCAAGTGATCAAGCGGTAAATTGTGGGTGGTGGACAGTAAAATTTCAGGGTTAGGTTTCGAATGTGATGTGTGAAGATAGCCTAGAGTGGATTATTTTCATAGAATATGCTTTCAAAATGAAATAGTCTCCAGTGAGAGCAACAACTGTATTGGACCCAAAAACTCCCGTCATACGAAAGCTCAAGTGGCCTAGTAGAAACAATAACGGCACCCCATGAGCTTAACCAACTAGAAAAAAGCTGTTTGGAAACGTAACCTGATTGGGTTTTTCTATAGATGATCCCTTCAAGATGCCACAACCTGTTGAAAGAAACCTATCAGCCCTCCAGGAGGACACTAAGTTCAGCTTCTTTGGCTAAAGACCTCAGGCAATTTGATCCTAGCTGCTACACTGTGTCCCCAGGAGAAAAAGGAAGAAAAGACAATCAAACATTGGGGACTGTCTAACATGGTCGCTGACAGTGGGAACAGGGACAAGGAGGCTACGGTTGTAATACAGGACCGGTATTGGTTGCATAATTCTGGTGGGTTTGTTAGCGTCGTTAACGACTGGTGCGCAGCATAAACTTTCATCCAGGAGAATGGCAGCTGCCAACTGGAGGTTTCTAGCTAACGCCTCCAAACTTCGTTGTCAGATTATGGACTGTCTGTTGTTTAATCGTTCCCAGATTATGAAAGCAAGATGCCCTATATCAGAAGTACAGATCCGAGTTGAAACCAACAACCATTCATGTGTAACACACATCAAAGGCCAACCACCTTCTGAATCCAGGGTTCGGTCGCGCCGTCTTAGTTACTACCTTGCTTACGGCAAAAAAACTGGATCCGTACTGGCGACAAAGATGTCTGGAGTAGGCAAAAGCCTATTCAGAAAATAAGCCGGGAGTTATAAAATCGTCCAGGTTAATTTATTCACTTGCGTCAAAGGGTTGCTGCGAACGTGCGAGAAACAGGTGGAATCGAATCCAGACCTGTGTTGTGTATTGCACTTTGAAAATGGGAAGCCCAAGAGTAAACTCGGAATCAGAACATATAGGCTATTTAAAATGGTTTGTATTCCTGTGGAACTTCGACATTATTGTTGTTAGCTCCATCCTACATACTATTATTGCTGTTCGAAACAGCAATGGAACAACAGTTAGTCTCCTTGGCTTAAAGTAGCTCCAAGATACCCAAAAGAGCAACAGGAATCTTCAAAGATACGTAGCATAGTGTCTTCCAAACTAAGTAACCACGTGGCTGACAAATAAGATGCGGCCAAACGACAAGGTATCACGACCGCTATCACAGCTTGTGAGTTTAAAGCACGGCCTACCAGCCACAGTAATCAGAAACGCAGGAAACGGAACATCTGAACTCTTCCTGGGTTGCGCTCTTTAGGGCTAGAGCTTTGTGGTCTTACACTAGGTCGTGGGCAAGAGAGGATAGCCTTCCTAAGGATGCCTATCTCGGAGAATAACGGTGGCTTTGTAATGGTGCGTGGGTGAGTCAGCTGTATCGCCACTTCGGTGCCCAGCCGCCATGCTATCCGATGGAAGTACGTGATCTGAGATACGGCCAGTGTGCCCGGGCCTAGACACCGGAGTAGTTGAGAAGCCAGGGTTGGAATCGAACCACGGACTTGCCAGTCAGCAACTTCATTTCCTAACCACCCAGCTATAGGGGGCTTTGCAATGGCTGAAGCCTTCGCCGTCAAAGTTGGAACTAAAAACCCACAACGCAAAGCATTCGGTTGACACTGAGTTGAAAACAAAAATGACGGGTATAACTAACCTTGTGTGCAAATAAAGGCATTCTTCTGTCGATAGCCGTCAACCCAGTTCGCATGAATGTAGTTCCGTACTAGGTCCTTGGGTGCAGTCGGAGCCGACAGAGTGCGATGAAGGTTCGTATTGCCTTGACTTGAGGAGCCAACCGTTCGAAGATCTTTTCGGCCAGCGGACGTGAACCGCAGAGATGCTGGCCGCAGATGAACACGACTCGTAACAAATTGTATTCTATAGGTGTTTTCGCAAAAATTAGTACCTGCATGTGTTGTGAGATAATTGGCTTGATAGTGAAGCTCGTTAACGCCAGAACAGTAACTGAATGCAATGGGGGGGGGGGGGCGAAAACACAAAGCGGCTGCACATGAAACAGGAAGACACAAATCAAAGCTAACCACAAAGAAACAGGCTAACAGTTTCGTTGCGTTGAATCCCGGAAGAAAGCTGACGACTTTCTGGAGCCGATTTCTATCGACCCACTCCGAAATACGTTGACGAATTCGGGTATTGTGTACATGTTGGTAGTGAGAGTGGCTCTTGTTCGCAAAATACAACCTACAAGGAACATTACAAAAGTCCCGATTGAGATTTTTCAGGTCTTTTTCTTTATTGCACAGTTCAAAACAGTGTGTAACACCATCGTTACGTATGGAGACGTACGGTACGTATGGGGACAGAACTGAATGTTTTCCATTGCGAATTGTGTAAAGAAAGCGGTCCTCAAGTGCTAAAAGACTTAAGAAAAAACAACGGCGTTTTGCACATCTACATCAAGATAAATGAGCATCATGTGATGCAAATAACACGTTCAAGTGATGGATTGCCAACCCTAAACAAGCAGAATGAAAACTGGTTCGGCCAGGAACAAAAATTTGGAAAAAACGATCAATGAGGCAATGTAATCTGTACCAAACTTGATAAACTGACAAAAGATCAGGCGGCCACTCACAAACATTTTCAGCTCGATTTAGTCAGCAGACGAGGCAATACGTCGTATGATTGGCGACTGTGGTGCTTTTTTGCTGATCAGGTGGCTGTGAATCTGCTGGCTGGGCTTGGCAATTGGCTTACAAAGTTTAGCCACCGCTTGTTGATGAGATCTCTTCGAATGGGGACAGCCCGTTTGCCACGGTGGACGAACAGTACAACAGCCGTACAACAACCGATAACCAACAGGCACTAGATATGTTTATTGACAATATGAGCAGTGAGTGCAGCTATCACTACCGGATCGTTCACAAAATGCAACCTCCAGCTGAGATCCGATAAAGCATATTGTGAACATTGACCGGATGGTGACAGCACGCACATACGGCATATGGTCATTTGATATGGTATGGATCGAGAAAGAGCGATCAAACGCTGTAGCCATTGCCTTATTCCCCTCGATGACCAGACCCTAACGTAATCCAATAGTTTCACGTACGTTGAAAATAAATGCTTTTCGTAGTAACAGGGAAATGACGTGGAGTTCATCACCAGTTGCATCTGACTCCTCGGTGTCTTACATCTACGCAAATACGCTTAAAGAGCGATTGTGGATCTACATAGAGATATCTATATCTGGACAATCTGTCACCACTGGTACCGGTCGATTCGGTTGGCAGCCACAACGTACATCGTCCTTGATCAGGCATAAACAGAGATGGACATGTGACCCTTTAGAGGAGCATGAACAAGACTAAGAAATATTTGTTTACAGTAGGTGGGAAGAGCGAAGAGAGCGAGGAAGAGTGAAAACGTGCACATAGGTAACGATAGTTCAGTAATGTAGACAAATCCGAGAGCAACGAATGCTATGGGGTCTCATCGGGGTGCTTGAATGGTAATGGTGCGTACCGTAGGGAAAATGTTAACAGTTGTTGCCTTCAGTTGTCTAGTGCTACCAAGCAAAAGATAAAAGGTTAATTCAGTTGCTGGGATATCTGAACCACAGGAGCAAGTGAGTAGGATAATAGAAGTGAGGGAGGACGAGAAAAACATGATATTTGGCAATTTCTTTTGTTCTCTACGACGGACACGCAGTTCGACTCCGCCTATAAAAATACGGCATGTATGCTAGGGTTACCAGATATAGGATACAGAACAGCGAAAATCGATTCCTCTGCACCCATCCAGAAATGCATACTTTGTTTGGAAATCATCCTCATTCTCGGATTCAGAGCCGATCTTAACTGTGCCAACAAACATTTAGGTGTTCAGAAAACAAGGTAACAACTTTGCTCCATGTATAGGTGATTGGCCATATCAGTCTTTACAGATTGTGTGCAACTTTCACTACTTCATGACTAGGGAAATTCCTATCCGCACGCCAAAAGAAAGGTTGCCGTAATGATCGAAAGCGGTTACGTGAGCCACAACCATACCTGTTAAAAATCATTGTCTGCTTTACTTAGATGCCAAAAACGTAGGATGCAGGGGACGTGTAAGACCGATGCACACCACGCGATTCGCAAACACACAACGAACCAAGCAACTACATGGCCCCCAATACTTACAATAACTTCATACATCTGTTTTCTTTTGCCATCACTTGCTTTGGCAATCTAGAACTTTGATGTTATGTAATTCAGAACCTATTAACAACCACGCCATGGATGATCAGCATGACACATTTTTTTCATACACAAGCAGGGCAGGCACTAGGGCTTGCTTCGTATTCTATAAGTGTTTTCGCAAAAGTTAGTACCTGCATGTGTTGTGGGATAATTGGCTTGTTAGTGAAGCTCGTTAACGCCAGAACAATAACTGAATGCATTGAAACATAAAAATCGAAACACCTCGCAACTGGGGTCGAACAATGGACCAAAATCCTATCCACCGCATTGTTAGCCCGTGGCTTGGGCCTTATATTGGCTCTGAAGCCCACCTACAGGTTAGTTCTATATAAATAAGACCAAAATCTTGGTTGGCATTGGTGGAACAGCCTTATTGGCGTACGTCAATAAAAGGTTTTGGCCCAGTTCAATCGAACAGAATCTATAATCCGGCAGATTTTCACCGAAAATTGACCAATACGTATTCTTTGAAGTTGCTGCGGCATTAAAAAAAGACCGAAATTATCTGTCCAAGAATGCACAAATCTTATACACTCTGTCTGTTCTTTTCATGTTAGGTGGGGTCATGAATGGCTGCAATCAGTCGTGCAAGTTATCAGCTTTTTCGGTGATCGTAAGCCTGAGGAGAGTTTGTATAGACATTTTAAACATTAAGAAGAAAATTCCTATGGTTGGTTTGAACTCGGTCATGTAGTTTCGACGATATCCATACCGAAATACGGTTCGGTTAAAAGGGATGAACATCAACTTAGTGAACATGAAGAGATTAGGAGTCTAGACTCCCAACAGTAATGAAGCAAGCAAAGATGCGAACATGGCGGAATTCATGCAGCTCATTTTGAGGATTTCGCAATCACAAGCCCACCAAAAACAGGGTTTCACTAAGCAGTCCAGCTAAAAGATGAAAGCATGCTCCCTACCAGGGTTCGTTACACTTCAGGCACAGTAGGGTTTCCTGTCACATGCGGGGGCAGTTCACGTAGGCTCCATAATGGAACGTGCGAAAATCCCACATATTTTTCTGCGGCAGCGTTAATCTCACCTGTCTGCTGCGCTCCCATTGGAGAATACTCCAAAGCTGCAGGTGACTTCAAACATCACCTGTCAGTGGACTCGTTGCTGCAAAATAACTCCGATTATTTTCATAAAATTAGGGATTCCAGCTTGCAAGAGTTGGCTGGTGCACGAAAGAAACTTGTTTTTTTAATTTACAGAGGCAGATAACAAATAG